AGATACGTTTATAATGTGTCACTGCTTTTTGTTTTTCTTGTTTCACAAAACACTGTCGTCTTAGTGTGTAGACTGATATGTATCCGTCACCACCGTAGCTGCTACCTATATGAACCGGCTGGTTAATTCAAAGTTAACCAGGTTGTTACACATATATATTATATTGGGCTTTAGTAACGAAACTCAATTGAAGTTTCTTCTTTTATTAAAAAGTATTGTTTGTATAATTCCTGAGTGTAGATTAACTGTAACTTCCACTATTTATGAGCGTGAAGAGAGAGCACGGCGGCTATGTACAGTATATAGGCCGTGAATCAACGTCAGTTCGATTTAAGTGTTTGAGTCTGACTCTGAGTAGTGACTCATCGAGGGAGAATAGGGACTTCGTCCTCCCTCGAGGTAAGATGGAGCCATCCACTGCGGCTCTCAAATAACGTCTTCCTCTAGTCAAGGATATCAGGTTACTGCCAGCTTTAGGTGGCCAGTAGCCGGCTACTTTATGCCTTTACTCAGCATAATATAACTCAGCTTCCCGTGGGCACACCTTATCACGTGCACTGAACGTGTCACCTCATAGCCAGTGGAAAGTTACAGGGGAAGAATCAGTATATAAATAAAATGTAATTAACCCATTTATATAATACTTCTGTTTATGAAACAAGGGCCATTACACCAGTGGTAAAAGTGTTGCAACGATTGGGGAGAGGGAAAGTTGCAATGGACTGCAGATGTCTACTAGGTGAATGACAGAGAGCCACGGCATTGGAAAGGCATGTTAGGGAAAGATGCAGAGAAGTGGGTCAAAGAAACCTACTCAGAAGTTGTCAGGTGATGTCCAATTAACCTCTTTGATCCACCGAAATGTGGAGCTACCATAGAACTGAACCGGGAGATGACTCGCCTCATACATAATTACACTCACGGCAGCTCCCTGGCCCCATTGGCTCTTCATATATTGGCATTAATACGCCATCTATTCTTCCAGAGGACACACACAAGGAGTAAGTGTAAGGGAAATGTAGCAGCAATGAAGATAATATTAACAATGTGGCAGAACGGGGCTTTTGATGATCTCATACAAGAGGCAAGAACACTGCAGGAAAGACTTAAATTAATAGGAGACGGAATGCAAGTCACTGAGGATGTTGCCAGAAAGTTTGGAAACAAGATGCGTGTGGGAAGTTTCTTAGGTGGTAAGATCTCTCACACAGGAATCTTCCAATGGTGTATAGCCAATAAACAGAGAAACCTTAAAATAACCAAAGGAAAAACGTCCCCCTGCAAGTGCAGAGGGAGGTACCAGGTTCCCTAGTAACTATGTTCCTCCAGACGCTGCCATGTTCTAGAAAATAACAGGAGGGCTGGTTTGGAAAAAAGCACTTTAGACACAGAGAGGTGTAGGTCCTTCAGGCCTCGATGCAGACGGGTGGAAAAACATCCTCAGCACTAACAAGTTTGGCGACGAAGCAAGTGATCTTTACAATGCCACCGCCACCCTTGCAAGAAAGCTAGCAACCTCATGCTGCCATCATCTACAAGCTCTGACGGCCTGCCGCCTCTTCCTCCTGAACAAAAATCGCGGGGTAGGGGAAGTGCTGAGACGGATCATTGGAAAATGCATAATGGAGATGTTCATTGATGATATCAGGGCAGCTGCAGGGATCCTGCCAGTATGTGCTGGCCACCAGGCTGGAGGTGAAGCTGTTATTTACAGTATGCCATGATAAAGATATTTGAGCAGCGTGATTGTGAGGCAGTACTCCTGGTTGACACTTTCAACGCATTCAACATAATCAACCGCAAGGCTACACTGCACAAAAATAAGATCAAGTTCCAAGCATTGCAATATATGTTGAAAACACCTACAGGTACCCGACAGACCTCTATATAACTAGCTTCAATGCCCAAAGAGGATATATCACCGTACAGTCAACTGAGGGAACTATGCCGAGGGATCCTGTCGCCATGGCAATGTACGCAATTGGTCTGCCCGTGCTCCAACACACAATAAACTATGAAATAACCAAGGTCAAGCGGGTGGCATATGCAGAAACAATGGAGGACATCAAAAAGTGGTGGGATCAGTTAACTCACGTGGTCCACAAATAGGGTACCACCCAAATGCTAGCAAGTCCTTCCTTATTGTGAAGCCAGAATACCATGACCGGGCTACAGAGGTGTTCAACGGAAGTGAAGTCAAAATAACAAAGGGTGGCCAAAGATATCTAGGTGCGGTAATCTGCACGAACTATTAAGACCGAGTACGTAACGGGAAAGGTAAATGAGTGTGTGAAAGATATCCATGCTCTGTCTGATATTGCCAAGCCTGAGCCGCTTGCAGCATTTGCGGCATTCATCAATGGAGTCAAGCAACCTGATGCGCACTACTGTATCCCCGATATCAGACCCCTCCTCCACTCTCTGAAAGAAGCCATCAATGTCGCTTTTGTCCCAACACTAGTGAAAAACCATTATTTCACCTCAACGGAAAGGTTACTCCTTGTACTAATACCGAGACTGGGAGGAATGGGATTGACTAATCCAGAGGAGTTTGCTGTCACCGATCATCAGAACTCTGTCAAGCTCACGGCAACCCTCACTGAGCACATAATAGCTCAGAATGCAACAAGTGAGATTGATAGCAAGGAATTAAACAGGATTCGATGGTCCATTACGACAGAACGGCAGCACACCCAAAGTGATAAATTTCAACAACTGGTGCTTCAGTTGTCAGAGAACTTGAAGAAAAAAAAGTTGATATAATGCAAGAGGTGGGCGCCTGAAACTGGATAACAACATTACCGATAAGGGCAAAAGGCTTTAAGAAACAAGATGTGGCTCTTCCTATGACATCGCCCACGCCTTGGTGTGCAAGAAAGGGGGCTTCATATGCATGAGGCATGACGAAGTAAGGGATCCCACAGCATATATGTTGAAGGAAATCTGCAATGATGTCACGGTGGAACAGATCCTCCTTCCATTGGACGGTTAGAATCACACATACAACGAAGCCCGTGTGGGAGTCAGTGCTCGTGGATTCTGGACTTGGAGACTGCGAGCCTTCTTTGACATAAGGATTTTCGACACAATGGCCGCATGTCACCATAACCTAGCTTTCAATATTGAACAGAATAATAACGAGAATGACAAAAACAGGATGAATGGGGAGGGAATTCATAATGTTGATCAAGGCAACTTCACTCCTCTGGTGTTCACAAACTAGCACGATGTTTCTATACAAGACTGGCCGAGGTGTTACCCTAACAGAAGCAGCAACCCAGAAGTTACGTTGCAGCCTGGTTGAGATGTCGACTGTCCTCTCTGCTTACGTCTGCATTGCTTTGCCTCAGGGGAACGAGATATTCGGCCACAAAGCCGACAACGGTTGCAGATATTGACTTTGAAGCAACAGTCACTGAATGCCGCATAGATCTGCGGCTCAACTAACTCAACACAACTAGGGTAGCTACTTTTGTAATAGGAAATTTTATCTTAAAATAATAAAATGGCAGCGAAGGTGTGACTACTGGGGGAGGCTGGAGGCCACGTTTAAAAAAAAAGCAGCAGCAGCAGCAACAGCACAAATGATGAGGGACCTTTTAATAGGTAGAAAATTATGTTTTTTTTTCCGAACCATTAATGAGCAAGCCAGTTGGCGGCCTCAACTCCACAACTGACAGAATAATGAAATCATCTTAATGGTAAAATATTGTTGACTGAAGAAGCACACCACGATATAATAGACTGTTGAATTTTTTATTTGTTTTATTGTCGAGAAAATGTTGACATCTAGATTGATTAATTTTGTGGAAAATATTCTGTGACGGAGTGTAATGTCTTATTTGATAACGAGTTAATATTAAAAAGTTTTTGCTGATAGCAAAGTGACTGTCACCCATAGACTACTCACCATAAGTAATCGAAAAACATAAGTGCTGATTGGAATGGTATTCATCCGGAGAAAAGTAGAAAGTAGCCATTAGTAGAATTACTGAAGGGCATTTTTAGAGGATATCATTGGCTGACGATTTAAATGGTTTGATTTTCTTAGTTCCCATTGGTGAACATTCGAGACCTGCATTTATTAGGGTTTTTATATTAAGACCCATTCATTGGCCGACAGCTCAAAAGATCCACGTTCTTGGGGTCAGGCATAAGACATAATAACACAATGGTTGCTGTAACTTGATTGATCCTAAAAGCAAGTTTCGGTCCGAATATATCTTTTTGTTTCAAAAGGTAAATTACACACACACACAAAACACTCGGTTAACGATCTTCTCCAAGTGTTAATGGATGCAGAATGTATCCTCGAATGCCATTATGATTCAGGAGATAAAACACTAAATGAAAAAGAGTTTTTCTATGTTATTTCCTTTCCTTATGACATATCCTATCTTCCCCTCCCCTTGCCATGTTTATTATGTTACCATAAAAAACAACGTTAACTTTATGTACGTCTCCTCTTAAGTGGTGACTGAAAGATATCTACATTTATCGGGTTATCATTGGTGGATAATTTAAAATGCCTCCTTTACTGGGGTTCTAATTGGCGAACAAGGTCGGCAGGTCTACGATATCTGTGTTGTCGGAGAGCTTCAAAAGGTATAGTAAAAAAAAACAAAATAAATAAAATACGCCCCTTTTCGGTCATATACACACACACCGAACCAAGAATTCTGAATAACACTCGTTTACTAGGGTGATTCCTGTTAATTTCTCTGTATTTGCTATACATTATACATCGTAATAGTTACACAATGCATCACAATCATAAGTACCAATCTTACCAAATGAACATGGCCTCAGTCAGTGATCGTTGTGAAGGCCGTCAGACCCAGGGGTGCAGAACATTGTTTTGTTGACTGAACATATCTGGAGTTACTTACTCAGTCAGTTTGTTAGTCAGTTTTATGTTCAGTTAGTTGTCAAGTAAATTGGTACTACTTAGATTGTTAATTAATTAATTAACTTGTAACTTAGTTATCCAATTTGTTTAGTCACAAAGAGTCATCATTCATATCTGTGTCACAAGGAGAGTCATCGTCCACCTCTGTGTCACAAGGAGAGTCATCGTCCACATCTGTGTCACAAGGAGAGTCATCATCCACATCTGTGTCACAAGGAGAGTCATCATCCAGATCTGTGTCACAAGGAGAGTCATCATCCAGATCTGTGTCACAAGGAGTCTCATCATCCATATTTGTATCACGAGGAGAGTCATCATCCATATCAGTGTCACAAGGAGAGTCATCATCCATATTTGTATCACGAGGAGAGTCATCATCCATATCAGTGTCACAAGGAGAGTCATCATCCATATTTGTATCACGAGGAGAGTCATCATCCATATCAGTGTGTCCATATTTGTATCACGAGGAGAGTCATCATCATATCAGTGTCTGGGAGAGTCATCATTTGTATCACGAGGAGAGTCATCATCCATATCAGTGTCACAAGGAGAGTCATCATCCATATTTGTATCACGAGGAGAGTCATCATCCATATCGTATCAAGGAGAGTCATCATCCATATTTGTATCACGAGGAGAGTCATCATCCATATTTGTATCACGTGGAGAGTCATCATCCATATCAGTGTCACAAGGAGAGTCATCATCCATATTTGTATCACGAAGAGAGTCATCATCCATATTTGTATCACGAGGAGAGTCATTGACTTTGCTTGACACATTAAGATCATCTCATTCTGACTGCCATCTGTATCTGTCAGAGAGAGAGAATTATCTCCCATATCTGTGTCGCAAGTAAAGGGAAAGTTAAAGGAGTTGTGGGAGAACGTTAAGTGAAAGCGATGGTTCATCTGACGTAGAAATTATCTGTTGTAGCTGAAGAAGGGGATTGAAATTTGGTGAGCGAGTCAGAACAGTGTCCTTCAAAGTGAACTTGTCGATAGTCGTGCTGGTGACCGGGGGAAAGAGGACTGGTGAATGCATGTGGGAGAACTGATAAAGCACTTTGTGGTTTCCATGATGGTGAACTTGAGTATGTTAAGAGTGAGTGTCATCTTCTGACAATATTTTGTTTTGTGGTTCCATCTAATGGTGAAGTGAGAATGTGAATGATGAGCAGCTGTCTTATAAAAAAAAAAAAAAAAAATATATATATATATATATATATATATATATATATATATATATATATATATATATATATATATATATATATATATATATATATATATATATATATATATATATATAAATTAAGAATGCCTGTAGTGATGGTGGTGTTTAAAAGGTGATTGAATGTCTAGAATTAATAATACCTTACTCCATATTTGCTGGTGATGGTGAAATGAGGATGCTAAGTGATGATTGTCTTAAAGGTTAAGTAATGTACATGTATAAATATTTAGCTGATGGTGAATGGATTTACTGGTAGGTAAAAGTCTTACTTGGTGATGATGGCTGGTGAAGCAAGATGGTGATTGATTTTCTGAAAGTTTATCTTGGAGTTTTTGGGTGATTGTGACATAAAAATAATGAGGCGAGCTTTGTTAAGCTGAAGTTTTGTGTATTTCGCTTCATAATGGTGAAAATAAGCAGGAAATGGTGAGTAATGATAATGCGGTATATTTAAAATGCAAAAAGTGAATAAATGCCTTCTCCAAAAAAAAAATAATAATCATAATGGTGAAACAGAGACTGAAAATGTAAATAAATGTATGTGATGATGATATGCACATAGTGAGTGATTTGGTGATGAAATACCGTCGTGTTGATGGTGTTACGTGCCAGAGTTGCCAACTTAGCGACTTTGTAGCTAGATCCAGAGCTTTTTGTTTTTTTCTAGCGACATTTTAGAGCGATTTGCGACTTGTCGCAAATCTAGAGATATCCACAGAAATCTAGCGACTTTCTGGATACTTTTGGACTGTCCTTGAAAACAGTTTTCCTAATTTCGAGCCATAATATATAGCAACGGGGTTACAGGGACAATAAATAATAAGAAAAGTTTAATACATTTGAACGGGTCGTGGTACAGAAGGAGGGACACGTCTATTTCCTGATCACTTGATGCCAGCCCGTCCATGGCTAATGTTGCCGTGTCGTCATTTGTCTATTACCTTCGCCTTTGTAGCACCTGGGTAACTTACCTTTTTGTCAGATATGCAATATGAATTTCATTAATACGCTAAATTTTAAAGAATATTAGCAAAACATCTTATAGAATTAATTCTATCAAGCCTGCGTGGTTCCAAACTTCTCATCCGCGTCCACCATGGGTGACCCATAGACTCCATACAGTTGCCCCGCAAGTCGACACTGTTCACCCGCTGTGCCAAAAACCATCAAGTAAAGTTTCCGCTTGTTTGCATGCTGTTTATTAATTTGAACCCTTCATAGTCCCAATAGAAAATGGGTAAGCCACAGTATTCACAGCGATTTAGGAAGGAATGGCTCAGAGATGACAGATACAAAAATTGGCTTCTGGAGGGGCCAGGAGATAATAAAAAAGGATTTTGTAAATTTTGCAAGTGTACTTTGTCTGCTAAGTTGTGCGACATTGAAAAACACAAAAACAATAAAAAACACAAGAAAGCAGAAGAGCCTGTAGTGGACGTCTCCCCTACAACTGCCTACAACTGCATAGCCACAGCCACCAGCTGCTACTGTCTTCCCTAGCAACCAAGCGTATCCCCATTCCAATGCCGCCGTATCCTAGGAACCGAGCCAAAAGACCGGCGACTTCTCGGGTTTTCCCAACATGACTCATAGCGGCTGCTGGGTATATAAGCTCTGTCTCTCCATTGAGATTGATTCGGACCATTCTTCTTGAACAAGCAACACCTCCTCCTCCGCCGCTGCCTGGCTCCCTTCGCTTCTCCTCGCCTGCCTGGCGGTCCTCGCTCCCGCCAGTAAGCATGGCGACCCACCAGCTGTCCTTCTCTGAGCTTCCTCACCAACCAACTCTCATTCTGCCCATCTTCCTGAACAAGCAACACCTCCAGCACCAGACTGTCTATAATATAACTTATATTATACAAGAAAACCACATTAGAGTTTCCTTCCATCCTGAGTGCTAGACAACATTAATATCTCGCTACAATGGTGACTCCCGGAGATTAGCACTCACACAGGATGGAGGAGACACTGATCACGCTCCCAGTCTTCAAGCAGACACCGGCTCCTCTTCCTGCCCCAAGCACCACATCCTACGACCCCAGCACACCCGTCCTGCCTCAGACGCTGACCCAGGCCCACACACCCCAGCAGGCGCATCTGACGACTCAGTACCTGCCGTGAGGGAAGCACACAACATCCATCGCCTCCACACCCCCTCTTTTCTCCCTCAGGTACTCCCTGCTAATGTCCTGCACCCTGCTGCTGTCGTGGACCCAGCTGCTGTCACGAGCCCTAATCCGCTTCTGCTGACGCAGCCCCTGCTCCTGACCCAGGCCCACACACACCCCAGCAGGCGCATCTGACGACTCAGTACCTGCCGTGAGGGAAGCACACAACATCCATCGCCTCCACACACCCTTTTTTCTCCCTCAGGTACTCCCTGCTAATGTCCTGCACCCTGCTGCTGTCGTGGACCCAGCTGCTGTCACGAGCCCTAATCCGCTTCTGCTGACGCAGCCCCTGCTCCTGACCCAGGCCCACACACACCCCAGCAGGCGCATCTGACGACCCTGTACCTGTCGTGAGGGAAGCACAACATTCATCGCCTCCACACACCCTTTTTCTCCCTTCTCCCACAGATAGTGTGTATCTAGACAGTTGTATTTCAGCGATCGGCTCATCACGCCATCGCCGTTGTCTCACATGAGGCATGCACCGCCCGGTCTGCCTCACATGTGCTAAGCAACTCTACAGACAACAAGTCTCCTACACCGCCTGGAGGGAAGGGGGAGTATTGTAGTGGACGTCTCCCCTACAACTGCCTACAACTGCGTAGTCACAGCCACCACCTGCTACCGCCTTCCCTAGCAACCAACCAGATGTTACCGTATCTTAGCAACGGAACTAGTCACCGGCGACTTTCTGGGTTTTCCCAACATGACTCATAGCGGCTGCTGGGTATATAAGCTCTGTCTCTCCAGTGAGATTCATTCTGACCATTCTTCTTGAACAAGCAACACCTCCTCCTCCGCTGCTGCCTGGCGGTCCTCGCTCTCGCCAGCGAGCATGGCGACCCACCAGCTGTCCTTCTCTGAGCTTCCTCACCAACCAACTCTCATTCTGCCCATCTTCCTGAACAAGCAACACCTCCAGCACCAGACTGTCTATCATATAACTTATATTATATAAGAAAACCACATTAGAGTTTCCTTCCATCCTGAGTGCTAGACAACATTAATATCTCGATACCCCAACAAGCCGTTTAGTGCAGAAGGACAGACAATTTTACCATTCAAGAAACTTGGTGAAGCAAAAAAAGTGGAGGGAACTCTGGCCATGTTTGTAGCTGAACATTGTTCTATTCGTGTGGTAGAACACTTAAGTGAAGTGTGTAAAGTATGTTTTAGTGGCAGCAAGGCAGGCAGTGAACTCAGGTTAAAAAGATCAAAGTGTTCTGGGGTAATATGCAATAATCTTGCGCCACATTTCACAGAAAATCTGAAAAATGATATTTTTACAAAATGCATTTTATTTATACTCCGTCCATTATAGTCGGCATTATGAAAATATTATTTGCATCAAATTACTGAAGGGGGGGAATAATAGCTAGCGACTTTCCATGGAAGATTTAGCGACATTTAGCTACTTTTAGGTACCAGCCTAGCGACATTTGAAAATCCGAGTTGGCAACCCTGTTACGTGCAACGTAGGTTAGAACTACCCTAGACAACCAATCACCAGAGCGCACCCAACCTTCATAGCGAGCGGACGTGCAGCTCGTCGCTTCCTGCTCATGTTCAAATTGTTGACTGTTACGTCTGTCTGCCTTGTTTTTCACGTTGGGTTCGCTCTGGCTGCTTTATCTTGTAGTTGTACATGGATATTATTATTCTTGTAAACTGCGCTTCTTCCCTATCCTATCCTTTCGCATAGAGTCCCTGCTGTTTGGTAACATAAGAACATAAGAACATAAGAAAATAGGAGTCTGCAATAGGCCGGTTGGCCTGTGCATGGCAGCTCCTGTCGAGAGTTACTACCACTCTCTATCATCCATGACTTTATCTAGCCTCCTTTTTTAAAACTTTCCAGCGTTCCAGCACTTACTATAAAATTGCTAAGCTTGTTCCACTCGTTCACCACCCTATTTGTGAACCAGCTCCTTCCTATCTCCCTCCTAAACCTAAACTTATCCAACTTAAATCCGTTGCTACGAGTCCTATCCTGCTCGGATATTATCCCCATTTTCGTCACCGACTCCATTGA